GGCGGCGTCGAGGGGAAAGGGAAGTCTGGAAAAAGTCTGACCTTTAATTTGGAGTTTATAGACGGAATTGCGGAGAAGATGATCGCGTGACAAAAGCCTGAGTGGTTGGTGGGAAACAGAAGTCGAGGAAGAACTTGTCTTATTTATATGAAGGATTTGGCGCGAGCCTACCCTCTGCTTTCCATGGGGCAAATCTGCTCCCCTTGTCTACTATTACAGATGAAAGGAGTTGAAACTGCTGAGACTCAATTGGACGGCGAGCGGAGCTTATTGCTTTTGAAAGGGACGCGATGCAACCGTTGAGACTTGGCAAGACCCACACCATGAATTGAAACTGAGCATATCTATTGCTGCTTCCCTTTGAATGAAGAAGATCTACTCGCTCACCATTGCTGCTGAACAGGATGCGCTACAACTGCTCAGACTCAAATGGGCTGTCAGCGCGTAAAAACCTCGTTGGATTGAAGCTGCTTCCTGTTCATTGGTTATTGTAAACAAGTAGATTGCCTTCATTCAAAGTGAAAGTATTTAGCAGACTGAGCCTCTTCTAGAGCAGGCGCCAGCAATTACACACTTGAAGTGCGGAGCCCACCAGACCTGCTGCTGGTTCTGCTGAGCTGCTGATAGCGCTGCTTCCTGAGGCTCAGCAGCCACGGAAGGTATATAAATATAGGCTGATGGTTCCGCCAGTACCAGTCGTCCCCCCAACTCCAGGTCTTGCCAGGCGCACCCACCTATCCCATCTCTCCGCTTCACACCTTCTTATTTCTACAACAACAACTTACAACTACCTAGTACAATAATCATAAATCATGGAGCACATACCTGATTCTAACGATTCTCCAGCGGAATTTTCTGGTGGCTCCTTTACTCCCCCTGGAACTCCTCCGCCTCTTTCTGCTGGCTCCTTCACTCCCCCAGGAACTCCTCCACCTCTTTCTCCTTCCCACCCCCTCTTCGTTCGCAACCAACAGATGATTGAAGACTCCGATGTTGATGGCGAGTCAATGGAGGAGGATCCAGAAGAAGAATCGCGCCGACAAATTCGCGACATGATCCAAAACTTCGACGACTCGGATGAGCCTTATCTCTTGTTTCAAGTGGATGGCGAAAGGGTTCTCGCTCCGGGGGAAACAAGTGAAGGCGCAATTAACCCAGATCGAATTCAAGCGGCTCTTCAGAATCTCGCTCCCGAAGATGAAGAAACCGTTGTTGCTTTTTTCAACAAGATGAAGGACGCTTACCTTGAACTGGTGAACAACCCTCAGCGAGACAGGTTCAATGCTGAAGAGGATTCTTACTACCTTCACGATCTGCCCAAAATTGGCCTTATCTTGCGAGCTATCGATGGATCTGATGCACAACTCTTGGCGGATCTGCTCTTGAGCTGGATGACTCTTATTCAAAATGTTGCAAGTGCTCGCAGAAGGCGCAGGGTTCAAGAGCTGTTGGACTGTATGACAAACCCGACCCCTTCCCAGTTGTCATCACTTGGTGCAGACTCTTTGACTGGGGTCTCTCTCTCAGAATGCTCGATTTGTCTGGACGACTTCTTCGACAACAAGCGCATCGTTGTTCAAGCACCATGCCACCCTACCCATGCCTTTCATCGGATCTGCCTTCAAGTAAGCAATCTCTTTATATATATATGTAGTTCTGGCACTTGTTGCTGATTCCAATGAATTGTTATGGTACAGGACTGGTTAGAAGGACGACTTGACTGTCCTATGTGCCGAGCCCAATTTATACTTCATCATTCATCCTGAAGCTCTATTGGACTTTTGTATTTCTTATTTTACTTTGTATTGAGCTCTAAGTTCCACCCCCTATGCCCCTATGCTTTTCACCCATTTTGCAATTAGAAATACCAATTAATCTATCTTAGAACGTGTCCCTTGACTTTCTGAGCTCCTCTGCCTTTACTGTACGCGCAGAGCCCCATTAGGTTCAATTAATCCTGCTAAGAAAATAAGCTTATAAAAAAGTGACTTTACAATGTATCATTTGAAAAGGCTCAATCAATCAATCACCTGTTACACAACCAGATTCATTTTTTGACGTGAACGAAAGTGATTAAAAAAATATTGCTGCTGCGATCCCGCCGGGCCGTCAAAAGTTTCAAATTGTGTTAGATCAAATAATCAATTATATCAGTTCCTCACAAAAATGACTACAGAACTCATTCAGAATATTCAACCATAAATGAGATCTTTGCTGTGTTATTCGATGAGTAAAGGAATAACACATTAAAGAAATAAAGACTTAAGATCAACCAAAGCAGTCATGTAGTAATACAAAGTATTGAAGTCTTCTTTTCTTATCAAGATGATACCAAACTTTTGATCATAACATCAAAATTTCACTTTCTTTAACAGAACTTTGATTATCCAACATATCTCAACATCTTAACTGTAGCATGGTAAATTATTGCTTTCATATTTGCTGTACTACTGCTCTAATTAGGTACATGTTTTTTTGCTCCATGTTTTTGCCCCAGAATATATTGCCTTCATTGTAAAATTATCAGAAGATCTTGACAAAACTGGAACGAAACAACTCTTATAAGTCTTCAATTTGGATATTAAAAGTCCAATTCAACTTTCTCGATTGTTGGGAAGTCCCTAGGTATGATACAGATAACTACAAAATAGTCCATGGTGAGAACCAGCTCATAAAAGGTATTGTCGAATTGAGTTACATAGCTAAAAAGGGTTTTTTCAGGTAAATTTCTCATGTTAAGTCAAGTAAATATTCAGTGATGGATCTTCAGAAAACAGAGCAAATCGAATGCAGCACAAATTTGTGAGATTGTCACATTCCCCAACGTCAGAGGAGGATTCAAATTGGCACCAAACAGTCATGTTCAATATGTAATTATCTCTTTCCTTTTTCTCAAAAACTTGTGTCACATGGATCGTGATTTCGGCTTATGCAAAATGGTCGAGATTAGGTTTCGACGTCAATCCGCGGGGTATCCGTCCCGCAATGTGCATTGGCGAATGACGCTGGAGGTCTAACTTAACTGGCCAGAGCTTCCTTCGCAAACGACTCATAATATGTTATGATGACTATTTTCTTGAGACGTATCACGTACCTTGGGCACCACTCCCGGTTTCCTCTTGTGCTAAGGTTATATCTTGCATCACTAATTGCAATGTACCCGTTGTCCCGCATTATCAGCCGTCGTATGAGCTTATCTTCAAAGAAATCGTTTGAGATTGGCCAGCTGGGAGTGCCAGTAACAATGTTGATTGATCCCGCTTCGAGAATCATGAATGAGAGTCTGGGTTTTTTACCCACCACGTGACTAGATGTCAGCAGGAGACGCGTCCCTCTCGGGCTCTTATCCCTCTCTTCCACGTGAAGGGTACTCCTGACTGTATCTTCATTGATGCAGAAACGGTCAAGCACGTGTATTCCTAACCAGAGGCTTGGTCTAACAGAAAATAACCTTCTGAACAATAGCCACTCATGTCCGAGGCAAGTCTTACAGAGCATGTATCTGGAAGAATGGCATGATTCGAGCATTCACTCAAAGCGAAAGTGAGTTATAAATGATACAGTTCTGAATAGGGAAAATAATTCTTCGACGGAGTGAAGATGAAAATGCAAAAGATGTATGAAAGAATTGGTAGTAGATAAAATATCTAAAACAAGTATGAAAGGAGAAGGTAGAAAAGAACAGCATATGAAAGGCTGATGAAGATGAGCAAAACACGAGACTCAGGGCAAGGAAGGTGGCCCTGTGCATCCGGGGGTGGAGTGGCAGGAGTGCCAAGATTCCTTATCGGAGCACCAACAGCATTATTGCGCAAGTAGGCAAGCCGGGGGTGCTTGACAGTAACTGGGTAGCCAAGATCCCTCTCAACGATTTCTCGCAAGGTGACCATTTTCGACTTGGTGTCCACAAAGAGAGCCATTTCTGACTCTCTTCGAATAATTTGGCGGTAGAGCTCGTTCTTGCTGGCGCGTCGGTGCTTGTCAATCAACTCTGCCAAGAAGCAATCCGGAGGGTGGTGATGTTAGTGTACCGCTAAAAGCATTGGAGAAAGATTCTCCTCGCTCAAAATCACTAATCACCAAGCGCTTGAATCGCTTCGGGTCCGAGAGATTCAGCCATGGTTAGAGTTCTGCGGTCAGGGTTTTTTCTTGGTTCGGAAATATGAATATTAGGCAGCGTAAGCTAGAAGGAGATGGAGCTTTCACCGGAGGTAGAAATAGAAGGCTACTATAAATCTTTCTTATCTGAAGTCTGGGGTAGAGTCGAGGGAAGGAGGAGGTGGGGGAGGAGGAATAGTGTGGCGAAGCAGTGGGATGATGAGTGACAAAGAGTAACGAAGGGAAATAAGTACTCTTATTTATAATGCTAACATTTGGCGCTCAGCATGACTGCTGATTGCTTTATTCCATTTGCCAAAGCTGCTCCCCTTGTTCACAATTACTGATGAAAGGTGTAACAAATGTTGAGACTAAATTAGATGACCGGGCTTCTTACCTCTGAAAGGGACGCGCTGCTGCCGTTGAGACTTGACAAGACATCACGAAATTAATTGAAACTGAGCCTTCATATTCTGTTGCTGCAAAGTTGAACGATGATTACCTACTTGTTTACTACTGCTACTGAACAGGATGCGCTACAACTGCTCAGACTCGAAAGGGCTTTGAGCGCGTAAAAATTATGATTACATTGAAGCCACTTTGTAATGGAAACCTTACGCTTCACATTCAACTTAATTTCTCAATATGTTCTTCCGATCGCCAGGTGCTCATAGCCCTTTCGAGTCTGAGCAATTGTAGCTCATCTTGTTCAGTAGGAATAGTAAGCGAGGAGATCACCTTGATTCAAAGGGAAGCAACAATAAACAATTGATGGCGTGAGTCTTGCCAAGTTTCAACGGTTTCATCGCGTACCTTTCAGTAGTGGTAAGTCCCGCCGCCCATCCAATTGAGGCTCAGGAATTTCAACGCCTTCCATCAGCAATAGCAAACAAGGGGAGTAGCTTTGGCAAATGGAAAGCAGAGAGCAGCAGCTAGGCTCGGCGTCAAATGCCTACAATATAAATAAGAGTTCTGCTGTAGTCACCCACCATCCAATTATTTCGGCACACCCTTCCTCTTCACCCTCATCCCCTTTATCTAACCCCAGACTTAAAGGTAGGAAGTATTAGAAGTACCTTCCTCTTTTTCTCCTCCACACCACCGCAAGCTGTTTCTCTGACCTAACAGACTTTCCTCTCGAATCTTCTCACTCCAGAGCGAAGAAACCCACCCACTCCGCAATCTCACAATGGAAGAAAATTTGGGACCTGAAGCGATCCAAGCGCTTGGTAAGTTCCAGCTCACTTGCAGGATAGTTTCTCACTCGAAGTTTACTGACAGTCTGATCCCGCTTATGTTCTCCTTTCAAGATGTGCTCGACCAGCACAAGCGCGCCTGTCAAGACAGATACTACCGACAAGCTCTTAAACGAGAGTCGATGAAAGCTCGATACGTGGACACCCACTCAAAAGTGAACAGCTTGAAGCAAATGGTTGCAAAAGAACTTGAATTCAAAGTCACTGTCCAGCACCCCCGCCTTTGGTACTTGCTGGACACGGAAGTCGGTGGCCCCATCCAAAACCTCGGCACTCCTCCCACCCCCCGCTGGGATGCACAAGGGCAGCTTGGTCTGCGCGACAAGCCTCTTCTATTGCTTTTCTTCTTTTGCCTATCACTTGCACTTCTCTTCTTTGTTATCTTTGCAAATTAGATATGATTGCTGGTAAGTTTCTTATGAATCCTTGTAACAACTACCCAATAAAAAAATATTATATATGCCTTATGATCTCTCCTTTGAAGAAAATTCATCTTCTATTGCTTTTCTTCTTTTGCCTATCACTTGCACTTCTCTTCTTTGTTATCTTTGCAAATTAGATATGATTGCTGGTAAGTTTCTTATGAATCCTTGTAACAACTACCCAATAAAAAAAATATTATATATGCCTTATGATCTCTCCTTTGAAGAAAATTCATTCAATTGAGTTTTCTTCTTATATCGCAGTCGACGACATTCGCGACTTAATATCTGGTGTTTCTGAGACTTCCATGACAACCTATCTCTGTTTTGAGTGAAAAAAGAAAGCTCACGATTTGTCCAAATACTAATGAGATAAGCGGCTTGGACATGACCGCTTGTGTATCATGATTGTGTTATTTTCAGGCTCTTGAGGAGAATTCTGCTTCACAGCATGGCCGTTGCTGCAGCCGCTTATCTTTTAAAGCGGCAGCACATTCTCCACAGATGAGAAAAGTAGATGAGATCTGCTAAATGACACACCGTGGATGCAATTGAAGATTGGATGTGTAAAAAAAGAGTAGTCACCCCTATCTGCATAACGCTGGATTACAAAATCCCTCATGGTAAAGTTGAATTCTGACAAGTTAAGTTGAGAATTTACTGTTGGGATTGACATTTTGATCAATGAGTGTTCCACTTATTAATTAGGCCTCGTTTGGCCGTCCACGATCGTAATAGGCCGTCGTCTCCAATCGTTAAATCAAAATCTAGGTTTGATGATTCCAGGCTGTGCAAATGACGCAGCCTGAAAATCCTCATCAACCTCGCTGTGAGGACTTATGACGCAAAATTTTGGGGGGACCCAAAATGTTGGAACTGGCAGGGAGTATATTTTGCTGACCACTTCCGTAATAATAAAAGTGGAGATGACGTGGCCTCCCAAACACCATCGTGAGGCCCCGTCTTCAGCTGTGCACCCCCGATATATTTGCCATGATTGTTTATGACAATCATGGACGGCCAAACAAGGCCTTAATTAAGAGGATGGACAGTAAAATTCAAATTAGGGGAACCACACCCCCAAATTGAACAAACAAACCCTTACCGGAGAATTGGACACCTCAGGATATCTCTGAATGGTTGAATGGACCTGTTGATGTCTGAGTCCTAACACAAAACTTCAGCCCACTGTCATACTCAAGATCGAAATAAATTATATTTTGATGACATCATTTGTGCTTGAACCTCAAAGTTCTCAAGCCTCTACAATGATGTCATCGATGTCATTGTGCATGATCCCTCGTCTATCTTTTCCGATTCCTTCCTCTTCCTTATCATAGCCGGAACTCTTCTAAGATTCTTCCTCCCTCAGGACCTCATCATCTTTCCATCTCGGTTCCTCAATTGTTAAATCCTATTCGACATAACTTTTCCTCATAAGATTATCCCGATTAAGACGAATATCTTCTCTCGTCTTATTAACTCATCCTTCCTCTTCTAACAAACTCCCCTTCGACAATCATCCTTTCTCGACACACTTACTCCTCATCTTAACTGATCTCCTCGACTATCATTCCCTTCCTTGCGACTCATTGCCGACCATCTTTTCTCTCCCTTCTTTCCGACATATCGCCGACCATCTCTTTCTAAAAAGAAACCTGTCCTCTATTGTCGTAGGTTCTCGTTTGGTTCTTTCTCATCGATATTCTTATATTGACCCACTTTCATTTGTTAGACCTATTTCCTTCACTTGTTGTTCTAAGATATTTTGTTGTTCATTTCATCATCCATCTACTGCTTTTAGGTGATTATTTCTTTTCTTCTTTTCTAAAGTTTTCTATCTTGTATTTCATTTGACTGGTACTCATGAAATACATCTTTTAGGCTAAACATTAACAGGACCCAGGCCTAGGCAAATTTGGGAAAATTATGGAGGCTGCTTCTTAAAAACCTCTTGTGAAGTTTTCCAAAAAAAATTGACAAGAATGAGATAACAGAACAGATAAGTTTTTATTTCAGAAATTGTAAGTCCAACTAAAATTTCTTGATTGATTACAAATCCCTCATTATTATGAAAAGATCTAAAAAAAATCACAAAGATGAGGGACAGTCAGAATCTATTGGTAAGTGAGGGCAACATAGCTTTAAGAATATTCTCCAGGTACATCACCCATGTTGTGTCAAATAAATTTCCACAGATGAGTATTTGGAAATCAAAGGAGATGACATGTTCGAATCCCCTCCTCTTCCCTCAAGATGGGTCAAATATCAAACCAACTACAAATATAATTAAATGGGCAGAAACAGAGAGAAAAAAAATACACATTTCTCAAGAATTCAATGTGCACATAAGCTTTTTATATGACTTTTTTAATTTATTATTTATTTGTTGAGCAGTATTGCCATTGTCATAACTTGGATTTAGTTTGCACCAGGAATAGAGGAGAATAAATTTAGTTGGAAAGAAACAGAATTTATTATAAAGAAAATAAAAAGAAACAGGAAAGAAGTTGCTTTAGATGTATTTGCTACTTATTTTAGATGTGTCGACTTGAGGGAAGAACAATCAATTGAATGATTGATATTCCCATATATACTGGATTAGCTTTGTGTATACAAAGGAAGAGAAATATGGGAAAGAATTTCTGTGAAGTTCAAATGTAAATCAGGATGGAAAATTGTTCAAGAGCAACAATTCAAATTTGTTCATCTTCAATGTGATGATGGAAGATCTGAGTTATTTTCAATTTCTCTGCTGATCCAAATTCCTTTTTTTTGTTGGGTTGATAGCCAGCTTGATAATGTTTTGTCTTTCATAGCTTCAGAGTAAGCCTTTTTGTATTCTTCATTCATGCCTATGATTCTGTTGCAATAATGATCATAGATATCTAGTTTTTCATTGTTGTCCAGCTTGAGGGATTTTGGATTTTGAAGTCTGATAAATGATTGGAATTGTTTTTTCAACTTGATGGTGTCTTTGATTCTTGAGTGCAATAATATCAAGCCAATTTTTGCTTCAAATCTTCTAACATCTGCCACTGTTCTGCTTGATTTTTCTCTCATTATTCCTGGCAACAAAGCTTGGTCAATGAAATGCAATAGTTCACAGCTGATATTGAGTAACCTTTGTTCAGATGATCTTAGTGGTAAATTGTTCTTTGTGAGTTGGAATATCAGTTCAACAAGATGTTGAACATCCTCTGTGTTATCATAATGTTTGGCCTGTTCATGAAATTTATAAGCTGAATGGCCTGCAAAGTATTCTGGGTTTTTGGCCGATTGACTATCACTAATCATCTTGATAAATTTATCCATTGAAAAGGACTTTTTGAAGTTTGACCACTCCCAACATACTTTCTTTCTGAAACTAACCATTCCATAGAACTTCAAATTTCTAACCCAAACAGACAAATCAAGGATCATCTGCTCTTTAGCACCAAAGGCTGTTTGGATAGAGTGGAAAATTCAAAATAAATGTTTCATATGGTACATTTAAATCTAGCTGTTTGGAAAGCATATCAGGATGTGCTTACCCTCAAAAGACTTATCCAAGATCCGCAAGTACCAGTGTTGAGTGATACCAATTTGAGAATTGTAAATAGTGTCACGCGTTTGTTTCCAAAACTTGGAGTAGATGTAATCAGACAATGGAGGACTTCCCGTCGCCATTTAGAGTGCTTTTTAAGCCCTCCCCAGTCTAAAATTAACACCCCAATCATGATTCCAACCAGCTCATGTGAGAGGTATCATCACCAGGCTTGCAAAAAAACAATTTTTTACACCAAAAATTAAGATCTTGGGGGTGTAAATTCAATTCTGGGAGGGTTGTAAACCGCGACGGGAAGACATCCAATTGCTCCAATTTTTGCGCCTCTTCAAGTCCAAATGCGCTTCTCACACTATCTCTTTTGACAAATTTGTTCTTATACAAAAGATCAACTACTTGGCAAAAATACTCCATGACTGGCGATGATGTCGCTTTTACTTTGTCTAAGTAGAAGTCAGATTCTGCAATGATAAGCTTGTCCTTCATTGCCTTCATCTCCTCCAAAAATGATTCCCCCTGTCGCTGGCATTCCCTCTGCAGATCGTCTGGATGTAGGATAGGAGGAAGTGTCATTTTTTGATCGGCTTTGCGGTTTACTGCAAACAGTTGCTGGACCTCTTCCATGGTGAGCGCAGATTCTCCTAGCTCGAAAAGCTTCAATTGGACCATCATCTCAATTTTCTTCTCAGAATTGATGAATGTTTCGGCGGCTTCCAGAATGGACGATGATTCTTTGGATCCCATTCTATCTAGGATGTGGCTCAACCTTTCTGTGAGTTGCGCCATCGGGTCTAAAAGCAGGATCAAATCTTTCTTGATCGAAGCGACTCGCACTACGAATGGAAAACAGTCTTCCTTCAGCAATCTGTTCAGTATTTATGAAGGTTTACGTAGGACACTTACCTGGAAGTCCGCCGGACCTTTTCAAGACATCTGTCCCGGGAAGTGTAAGCAATCATTGACGTTACAAACTACAACACATCAAAAAGAATTTCATGGACTGAAGAGTTGACTGACGAATTTGATAATCGGGAGTGCTCCACAATAATAGATTTTGGCGAGATCTTTGCCGCAGGATTCCGTGTTGGACAGGAGCTTTCCTGCTATCAACGGCCATAGGCTCATGATCTCCATAGACCCCGCTGAGATCTGTGTCGGACGACTGCACCGGTCTTGCAATCGAAGTTTTTCGCTTTTTGGGAACAGGCAGTAACACTACAATGAGCATGCATTTGAGGATTGGCAGGAGACGATGATCAAGGAATCGATCAGCAACAATGTACAAAGTTGTATATATCTCAACAAGGTTGGGACATTTTTTTTATTTACCATCACCGCCCCCTGCTTCGATTGTTCTCAAACGACGCGTATTTGGAAGTGTGCCATGTGCACCTGAGAGGAACCAACAGCCAATCAGTAAATACTGGCAGAGCATGTTTGATATCGATTCGGGATGATGTTAGCTGTTGAAGGGCAGGAGAAAACTGGGGACAAGTCTCCAAATCACTTCCGCCGACTGCACGGCTTAAATGTTCCTCCCTTCAAGACCAATGTGTTCTTTTTTTGCCCGAGGTGTCGAGTCTGCCATATTACAATCCAGCCCATACTCTTTTTGTGATACCTATTACAAAAGCTCCGACCCTCATCGGAAACCCAAGCTTGTAATTTTTGGCCTCAGTGCAGTCTTACTGCCCTCCAAACTGTTACATGCTATCAATACCTTGTTCGAGTCTGGGTTTGAAGGTTGTAACTATCAGTAGTTATAGGTAATTCAACACGTATCCAAGCTCGACTTTCGGTCAAGGAAGTGGCGGCCAAGCTGGTTCTTTGGTCGAGTACGTCGTGTCGATGAACAAGCTCCGGTGAAACAAGCGATGTCATTTTTCTTTTGCTCATTAAAGCTCGTTGATACAAATACGCATCTTGACGGGGAAACTTGTCAGATGGAAAAGGACTCATATGCGTTGAACAACCGCTCTTGCAAGCTCAACTCAGCGTCCACAACAACCCCAGCCTGGTAAGACTGTTTCTAAGCAGAGTGTGATATTTGTGGCCAATCCATCATTCTAGTCATAATGGTTTTTGTGTCGAAGATGAGATTGAAGTTACCCGGGTTCGAATGGAATGGATAGCACACCCACGTACATACCTGTATTTTTTGACTCTTGGGTGTTGGAAAGTAGTTGTTGCAGCGTTTCTTGTAATCTTAGGCCTGATTTGGTCTCAATTTCAACACTTTGTGGTGAAAGGACATTAAAAGGATGTGTGAGTCAATGGGATCTTATATTCCGCAACCATAAATACTCAAAAGCTTTGACCACGAGATTCCATGAGGACGGTTAGTCAACCAATCCGGCAAAACGAAACATGAAAAGATAGCTCCCGAGGGACCACCTTCTTAAGTCATGATCCCAGCACTCTCATCTTCGGCATCCTCGATGCTCCATTTCGCAGCCACAGACACATCCATTCCCGAGGTTTTACCGCGCGCAAGCTTGTCGATTCCTGTCCAGGCGACCATTGCCGCGTTGTCGGTGCAAAATGAAATCGGGGGGATGTGCAGCTTCAGTTCGGGATCGATCGACTTGAGTAGCTTTTCAACCCTGTATATAAATGATGACAGGCGCAAACAGGAAAGTGATGTGAGAATGGTTGGAGGAATGTCTTGAGAGGGGATGGGAGACAAATGATCGCGGGTGTTAAGCTTGACAGAAAAAGCGGCACCTGTCTCTCAAAATCTGGTTGCTACCGACCCCGCCGCTGATGACCAAGCCCTTGAGTTTTTCGGGATGGGTGGAAGAGAGTTGATGGATCCAGTGGCGAAGTTTGCGCTCGATCTGGCCAAAGGCGGCGTCGAAGAACGCCCTGCCGATTTTGCGTTTGTGCGCGGTGGATGGATGGCGGTCCGGGTGGGCGGCCAGTCGCCGGATGGTTGCCGTCTGGAGGCCGCAGAACGAGAACACCGACGGCCCCGTGCGCAGGGCCAGCGGCAGCGCCGCCTCCTCTTCCCCCGCCAGCTCGTCTGCATCCCCCTCGTTCACAAACATCTCCAGCGCTGACCCCGGCGACGCGCTCCCCTCCGGCCATGGCACATCCAATGCCCGGGAAATCTTGTCAATGGCAAGCCTTTGAGTATTTTTGGAAGCTGGTCAACATGACTGAAGTAGACACGCGAGAGGAAGTCGACTGAATGATTTATTGATTACTAGGAAAGGAGAGACTCACCCTAGGGGCTTGTCTGCCGTATTAGCCAAGATCTTGAATTCGCTGGTCGACTTGACCAGGACCAGCATTGTATGTCCACCTGAGACCAACAAGGACAAGAACGGAAACTCGATTTCGTCATGGGTCTGGGTCAAGAACGGCGTAAGAGCATGAGCTTGCTGCGAATCAAACCACATCATCCAAGCCGTCGGGCGAAGGAAGGAGAGTCAGCACCACGAAGTCTTCTCTCCATCGTATCACAGCGCTCAACCCAGTCAAATCTTAGAAGACTTTTCTCACCATGTGGTGGACCGCCAACAAGGGTATCCCTGTCGCGATCGCTAGACTTTTGGCCGCCGTGGCTCCCACCGCCAGACAACCTGCTATCCCTGGCCCACGAGTGTATGCGATTCCGTCGAGCTCGGTGAGCTTGAGGCCTGCTTCTTTCAAGGCCCGTCCGATCGCGATAGGCTACAAGGCTCGGGAGAGAACAACCGACAATCATTAGTAATTAGAGTTGTAGAGCCGACTGTTTTCGAACCCGGCCAGGCCTGTACGATTTCGGGGAGGGGTGGGCTACGAAGGCAAGGCAAGAAGAGAGACTGACGAGGTTGATCTGGTGGGCATGGATGGCATGGTACGGATGGATGCCGTTGAAGGCCTTGTGGACATCGTTCTGGCTCAGCCGGACGTTCGAGAGGATCCGCTTGTCGGACCCGACGATGCTTGCACACGAGTCGTCGCACGAGCACTCGATCCCGAGCACCCGGACCGGGCCGCCGGAAAGCCGCCTCGGCCACCCGATCCAACAATCCTCACCGCCGCTGCTCGGTCCTCGGTCGAGCGTTTGCCAGCTACGATTCAGCTTCCGGGCGTGTACAATCGATCCGGACAATCGTACCAACATCGAGTTCGCTGAGTCCACTTCACAAGTTTCAAATAAAATCTTCACAATTACTGACTGAATCCGAGCTTCACATATGAATACGTCGTTATGCAATGTGTCCTCACGCCGGGCTCACCGGGAGATTGATGATTCCTCCCTCTCATCAAGGAATGCACACTTGGCGAAAGAACACAAACTAGAGCAGGACAGGGCTTCGATCGCTCATGAAAAAGAATCAAACTACATAGACTCCGGCCTGCATGCCCTTCATACCTGCATCGATGCCCGACAGCTGGCCCACCTTCTGATTGGCCGAACCCGAAAGGTCAACTTTCACCATCGAAATGATCTTACCACTCATCACTTTCTTTTTCATCGAAGCAGACCGAGAAGGCACTACTTTCCCTGCCAAAATTGATGAAGGCTATCATCATCAAGTCACACATCTTCACCGCCGTGTGAAAACGGCCACACGCCATACGGCATCCGCGAAGAGGTAATCAACCGAGCTTATCCGCGAGTCCCGGTCCCGTTGCAACGCCGGACAAATACGCAACGGCTTTCCGAATCGCACCAAAAAAATCACCACTCAGCCCTCATCCTGGAGGACGATTCCATGAAGCGACAGATGGTGCTTTCCTGATGCGTTGTAGGGGAGTCGAACCCCTGACGAGGCCATGGCAAGGCCCCAGTTTACCGCTAGCCTAACAACGCCATGATGTCATGATTACGCCTAGCAGATCCGATTCAATAGCTTGTTGCTGTTCAGAGTCCAGACCAACCTCAATCAAAAATCATCTTGCCTATAAATCTTTTGAGCTTCCATTCCAATATCCCAGTTCACAATAGCCAGTCATCAGCAGAATTTTTAGCTGTCATCAGCAAATCATTGAAATGTGATACTTAAAAACACATCCATTTTTTAATGTGCAGTCCGGATTCCCCCAGATTAATCCAGATTAAATGGCTCAGGCTTTTGGCAGAGCCCACTATGGCATCTTCATCTACAGATCTGGAGCAAGCTTTGGGTTATGTGATCATTTGTTGATCTTCTTGGTGTATTGATTTATACATTGTCAGTGTAAGTGCTTTGTCTTCTGTGGCTTAAATTTTATTGCTTAAATCTGTTTTTTTAGACCAGACCTGTTCTCTTTGGGTTCCAATTCAGACCCTCCAAATACAGAGGAATCTATGAAACCCACAGACCCACTCAGAGGTTAGCTTGGAGACATGCGGCATCTGGTTGGATGCTCAAACTCTCCAGATATTGGGCTACATGCAGGGGGGGGGGCATAAGCCCTGGACAGGGTCCAAGATAAAAGCCTTTTGGATTCATAAAAATTGCTTTCAGATTTGGTTCCTCTCTAAATGTGGCCAGCATGGCTCCTCATACCATGAAGATGAAGAAGATGTAACAAGTACCAAGCTATCAAATTTCCAGACAGATCAAAGAAAATTACTGGCATTACAAATCCATATTTCAGGGTGAGCAAATGGGGATGGGCAAGATTAGGATTCCAATTTTGAGGAGCTTTTAGAGACACTGTCAATCAAGTTCAAAAACTCTTGTCCCTACCCCTCCAGTTCACCAATTTTTCCAAGGCAAATTGGGAACAAGTAACAGACAATTTTCTTGGGAACAGGCAATGTTATTGGAATCATTATCATCAAACTCTGTTGGAAAGCTCTACAATTACCACTACCAGCCTCTAAGAAAAAAAGTAAAGCAACTATATAACCCCTCAGGGATCTTAACCCTTCCTCCTATACTGCAGCCTCATATTCTTCTTCTTGTTGTCTTCTGAGTGAAAATTCAACTGTTCAGACAAAATCAAATATCTGCTAATCCCACTTGCAGATCACTTTGTCCATCCCATGGATTTACAGCCTCCATTTTTTTCAAAATCTATTTTGTTTTATCCATCCCATCCTTATTCTTCAAAAAAAAAATGATAATATCAATGCACCAGCAATCTTGAATTTTCTTCTCATGCATCAAAAATTTGTACAGGTAGGATTATGAAAATGTCATGTATATAAAGCTTTTGAGAGTTCCTGCTATCTAGTAATTATGGCCTGATGGTATGATATGAATTCTGAGTGCTTGGTGAATAATCATATGCCATGATTGGAAAGGGAACACTGGGCCGCTACGCTAAAGGGCCATTTAGCATTAGCGTAGCTCCCATGGCAGCAGCCTTTTTTTGTGTAGTGTTAGTGTGTGCTACCACCCACTAAGCTACACTAACTTCCAGCGGCGCTAACAACACACATTTTTCTTGGTAGTGTTAGCGCGCCGCTACTGCCACTACTCTGTGTTACGCTACGCTACAGCACTGTTAGCGGCAAAAAAGCCAAAAAACCATTAAAAAGCGCTGTAGATTAGCG